AGGAACTCTCTCTCTTTCTCCACCCTCACCCCAATCTTTTGTTCCCATTCCTTGTTATGCTAAAAACTAGCTCAGAGTGACCCATAGTAGGGAACTTGCTCTTTCTTCATCAAGTCAGAAATTATATTTCTTTGTCCCCCACCCCAGTTCCTTCTCTGACTTTCTGTACCATGGTTCCTTTGGCTCTACAACTGGGGTTGCAATGGCCTCACCGCGCTCTCGTGCTCTGGTGCTTCTCCATCTGCTGAGATGCTTTCACCAGTCATACTTTAGGTAGTCTTTGAACCTTGCTCAGCTACTAATAAGTTCAGAAGGTTTCCTACTGTCCACAATGTGCACTTGGGTTGGCCTGCTTACTTCCTCAAGTGCTAAAAAATCTGCTCCCCTCAGAGAAGGGTTCATCTCCAATTCCTTTGTAAATTGATTTCTGAGATGTCTTGGTTATTGTTGCTCTCCTTTACTACACATGTGCACTTCATAAAATATTCTCCAATGAAATTACAAAAGAGGAAGTAGCTGCTCTGAAAAAAAATCTCAAGTTCCCTCAAGTTATGGGACTGCCTTCATTTCCTCTGAATGCCATATCCCAAGTTTTACAAGAGTAAGTCTCACAAGACTTGATTACTTTAGTGGAAACAATTGTTTTATATGAGAAAACACTTCAACTCAGTAAGTCCAGATTTTTATATTGGGTAAAGATACTGAGATGCTTCACAGCGTGGGACAACGTTCCACAGACAAAATCCATTTCCTTCTTAAGCCCAGTAGATACTGGATGGCCAAAGGATACTTCAGCACAAACAGCATAAAATAAATCTGACTCTGAAAATCACTTATCATTTTGCTAGTCAAACACATTTCCTGTTTGACTTCAGGTTCTGAATTCTGCAGATGAGTCTCACACATCCATTACTGTTTTTGCAGAATCTTTGTGGGGTCCTATGCACAGAACCAAGGAAATTATTTCTTTCTGCAATTTTATCCTTGCTTGGGAAGATGGTGATCTCCATATTCAAAGCAACTGCTTGGGGTGCAAGTAATCTGGGTTCTGTCCGTGGCTCTATTCCAGCTTTCCTACAACTGGCTTAAGCAAGTTAATGCCTCAGTTTCTCTCTCTGTTAAGTGGGATTCAGAACATTTTCTAAGAACAGTAAATGTTGAGATTTTAATTCATTAGAGAGCATAAGGAATAATATTCCAGAGACTATGGCACAAAATCTATAAATAAATAAGCCTGCTGCTGGCTGATATCCAATAATCTGGCCACCTCCAGATGAGAGAGGCTGCCCTGCCCACATGCTTCTTACTTTATATGACCTTTCCAATGCTTTTGGTAGGCCTGAAACAGCAGTCCTTCCTCATGCACAGCTCCCACTGAAGTATGCATATTTCAGGGTCCTGTTCTGGTGCTGTCCTGGCCACCTGCCTGCAGCTGCCCTTGACTGGAGGCTCATCCTGCACCATCCATATGTTCTCCCCTTGCAGTCCACTCACTAGGCTTCCAGGCACTGTCCTCTCATGCTTACTGATATTGCCAGGAGTTTTAGCAGAGATGTCCTGCGTACCCACATGTTGATAGCTTTGCCATATTCTGGCTGCCTGAAGTTGCCCTGTACACCTGCTCTAAATGCATTCTCCATATGGACTATGTTGCTCCATTTCATGCTGCAATTTTTTTTTAATGCTTCCAGGAGAAAGATGTTAAAATAATCATCATAAGAGAGATACTTGCTCCTTACCCAGCTCTGAAATCCTAATGGTGGAAAAATCCAGCCTCTTTGCTCTAAAAGCAATATTGCACTCAAAAAAAAAAAAAAAAAAAAAAAAAAAGGATCTGGATATCAGTGTTACAGGAAAATATCCACGTTTTTTAAGTTCAAAAGATTAGACTGAGATTTTTAAGGTGTCAGACAAGAGAACTGGGAATATAATTGGGGAAAATATATAAACCTGAATTAAATAAACTTCACCTACTTAGCACGGTGAGCATAAACATATGCAATATTCAGCATTTGTAACTTTTTTCTTAAATTGCCTTGCTTTATAGCATGCTACCAGTCATAACACTCAATAAAACCAAGCAGTGTAAGTTACAAATGCATTAATCACCAATAGCACATAGCAGGAAATCAAATTAAATAAAAATGAATGATGGCGATAATTCACCATCAACATGCATTCTACTCCCCGTGTTAATGCAGCATCATGTGGTGCAAATATAAATCCGTATGGCGGGTGTTTTTTTGAAGACTGAAGGAGGGGTACATGATGCAAGTGGCAGAATGACGTGCACATACAAAAAATATTGCTCCGTACACCAATAAATTATATGACAGCAAACCAACCGTGTAAACACTAATTATACTTTCCTTTTTACTAATTGTCTGTGGTCTCTTTTAAGTCCTTTACAACTTGTGCTACAATTTTAAGAGTTTTTGTTGATGTTAAAAATAACCAACATGCCCTCCCTGCCTTCAATTCAAGACCTTTTCTGTTTGTACCATTCAGCCTGTGCTCTGCTGGAAGGTTATTATAATCTTGGCATTCATCTGTTGCATTTCTTTCAGAGAAACCACATAAGCAAAATCTGTTGGCAGGAATATTGTTAGTTTAGCATTCAGTAACTTCTAATATACAAGGAACATGATGCTAAAATTAAGACACTCTATATGCTGTATTTTTCAATTATTCAATTCTAATAGCAACAGAAAATGATAATATAAATCATAGCAACAATCAGCAGTGTATTCTGTGTGTGAATTAGACTATAAGACATCTAAATCTATGGAAAAAAAGAGGAAATTTAGGAAGACGGCATAGAACAATATAAGACAACCCTTTACTTTAGCACCTTAGAGGTTATATTCCTGCACTCACGCATCAAAAATCACTGCTAGCC